AAACTACATAATAAAAATCCTCAAATGACCTAAATCAGATTAAGGAAAAAAGAAACTCTTCGGTACTCTAGCACTACAAAAAGTCAACAATTCCAACTGGAGTTTGCAAAATCCACCTTATTTGCAAAATCAAGATAATTTTATTGGGCATGAGGTCAGGAGAGGTGAGACTGTCAAGAAGCCATCTGGATTGCACATTCAGTGCTTCCTGCCAGATGATCAATGCAGCAGCTTACAAAAGAAGTTATAAGAGGGTTTTTCTAAGCAGAGATAGTGTGATCAATTGACAACAGTGAGTAGCAATCACAACAGGCAGGCAGCATGATTAAAGGAAAAGCAAATAACATTGTAAACTATGAAGATATATTCAAAGAGATTAGAAAAGTCAATTAAGCTAATGGAGCTTCTGTGACAATCATGAAGAAATCTGCTAAGTAACATATGGTATATTTTTTAAGAGAAAGAGAGAGAAGAAAAATAACAAATAAACAAGTTGTTAGACAACAGCTATTTTCATAGTTAAGTTTTTAAAAAGCATAAAATTGTAATGTAAACAAATGGTTATAATCTACTACTGTACTCTGTGTTATGTGCATTTTAATCATACTATTGCTTAGCCCAGCTATCTAATAATTTCCTTGTTTATCCTAGAAATAGCAAGAGTATAGGTGATGTGGAAATCAAAAGATGAGACATAAAATTTGCTATTAAAAAACAGGTCAGTGGAATAACATTCGGATAAGGAATTTATACCCTTATACAAACAGTGATTATAAAATGATCAGTGGAAAATATAATAATATTCAATTAAGAACATTTTTACAAACCAAAAATAAATAATCTAAATCAATTCCAGCTAACTAACGAGTCTTAAATGAATTTTTGCCTTAGAACAGATTTAAGAAGGTATTACAGGTATTGTAGGTATTACAGCTCAAGAATTTGCAGAGTATTGATATTTTACATGCATTAAAAATAGGCATCAAGTGTGTGGTGTAATACTGAACTCTGGAAGTTCAGCAATATATGATGTAATAAAATCATCTGTAAGGCAATCATGGTCCAATGTGATACTCACTATTTACTATGGTATAAATCATACCATTTATTGAGAAAGATTTTAAAGAAATATTTTAAAGAAAGAGTAACAAAACTTGATGGAACTAGGAATACACTTGGCACCTCAGTCAAATGTATATTTGTTTTAAAATCAAATATTTATTTTCATACTAACTATCATCTGTTTAGATTAAAAGTCAAAGTTGTATTTTGGGGTGTAATCTAAAACAGTGTATAAGTACTCAAAACTATTAACTTTAATGGACATAAGCATATTTCTATGTTGATTTGTGCCCTTGTATATTTAAAAGAAAGAAATCAGTTGCACACACAAAGCTTTAGAATATTTGACCCATATGGAGTGCTAGTTGTTTTTATACTTCCTCTTAATCATCAACCTACTAGGTGTTGTTATTCACTGATCTAAAGATGTCACAAGTATTCAGGCAAGATATTCTTTGAAATTATGAATCTCTCCCATCCACTAGTAGCAAACTAACTGGAAGCTGACAGTTTCCTGAAACTTTACAGGTACTTTTGAAAATTTAACTGTCATGGAGAGATATGTTAGACAGTGATAAACAACCTGAATAGGTTAGGAATGCAGAAGTCACAAAGTGGTCTGGTTTATTATAATAACAGCATTTTTATAGACAACAGATACATTCTTCAAAAAAATGGAGGAAATATTACCTTTGGGTTTCTTACTAAAGTAATAAGATCAGGAAAATCTATTTTACAGTATATAAAATTGTACTGTGACTAGCTGAACTCAGTAATCTGAATAAATCATGGAAATAATTCAACATTTTAATATCAACTGATTTTTTTACAGTTTTATAATATTAACATAGATTACTATGTGAAATTATCTTCAGAAAAATGCTATCCAGAATTGTAAGCATTAGCTTTAAGTTATATTGAATATACGACAATTGACAAAGTTTGGTTCTGATTAAGTGCTGCTTATTTTAGTTTTTGTTGCTGAAGTTCATTACTTTCTGACAATATAACTGTGTCTATGTATAATTATTAGATTAGATTATTCTACCTTTATTACTTTATAATTAACTCAAGGCAGTGAACATAAATAATACTTCCCCCTCCTATTTTCCTGTGTGGTTGGTTGGTCTGAGAATGACTGGCCCAAGATCATCCAGCCTGATTTTTGTACCTAAGGTGGGACTAATTTGTTCTACTTTCCAACTGTTTCATCTGTTATTTCTTCAATAACATTGTTTGAGTCCCTTTATTGAAGCAGATATCATATATAGTTGATATTGTAGCTAATATTTTCTAATTCCATTTTTCAGAAGTTTAGACAATAGAAGCCATTTCTCAAGAGTTTCTTTTTAGTGGAGATATTCAAGGAGATGCTAGCCAATCATTTGGGATGCTTTAAGGTTGAGTCTTATTCTAAGCTTTAAACAGGTGATTGAACTCAATGGCTCCTCCAAAATATATGATTCTATAATTCTTTGATTTTATGAAAACTTCAAAGGGAGAGGGAGTGCTGACAAAGAGAAGAAATGGACCAAAATTTTTGATTGATTGGAGAAGAATTGCTTTTAATTACAATGTTATATTAGTTTATTTACAATGAACCTTGGTGATGCAGTGGTTACAATGCTGTTTCTAGGTTAGCATAGTGAATTATCTATTTTAAAAGGATAGTAGTAAAATAAAGGCTATTGTAATAGAGTGTTATAAGCATGACAGATTGTACCAGCATACAGGGTATACAAATATTTCAGATTTACTTCTGAGTAATGTAGATCTAGACAGAATTACAAAAAGGATCGAACAAATAAACAGCTTTAATCTTAACAGGTGGTCATGTGAGATGAAACTGATTAAGATTTATCAAACAAATGATTAACTGCACATGTACTGTCATTTTCCCACAAGCCAAATTTATTTATGAACAGAATGTCATAAAAAGGCTATTTGTTAACAAGCACTTTATATGTCATATGCCAATTCTTCCTCTTTTAAGTTGGGAACCAGCACCACTAAAACATTCAGCAGCTTGCCAATTATTATAATAGTTAGTCTGTGGTGAATAGAATGCTTTAGAATATCTATTTCACTCTGGAAATATGTCTGTGCTATGTACAATGACAGCTATGAATTATTAGTTCTAGTTATTCCTATTAGGCAGCATAGACAAGTATAGTTAGTGGTTTGGGAAGATAATGGTACCAACAACAAGTACTAACAGAAGAAAATCTTTGAGGAACTAGAAAAAATTGGATTGAAACAAGTGACATATTACAAAACATTTTGCAACAACCCTTGATATATTGTACAGGTAGTCCTTGAATTATGATCATAATTGAGCCCAAAATTTATGTTGCTAAGTGAGACATTTGTTAAGTAGGTTTTGCCCCATTTTATGACCTTTCTTGCTACAGTTGTTAAGTGAATCACTGAAATTAAGTTAATAATACGATTGTTAAGTGCTTCTGGCTTCCCCATTGATTTAACTTGTCAAAAAGTCTCAAAAGGTGATCACATGATCCTGAGACATGGCAGCCATCATAAATATGAGCCAGTTGCCAGGTGTCTGAACTTTGATTATGTGACCATGGAGATGCTGCAACAGTCATAAGTGTGAAAAATGGGCATAAGACACTTTTTTCAGTGCCGTTGTAACTTGGAATGGTCAGTAAACGAATAGTTGTAAGTCAAGGATTACATGTACTTCAATACCTAATAAACCAAACCAAAACTCACATTCTTCCTTTTCCCCCTTATATCAAATTATGTATTGGACCCACTGAATATATGCTATACCCACTCTCTGCCTTAAAAACATGGGTGGTTTTTTTAGTTTTCTGCATTGAATCTTATTCCCCTGATAATTGCTACCTCCCCTATTAGTATTATTTTCAACTAACTACTCTCCATTTGGTATTTCATGAATGTTTTTCAGTTTTTTATTGATATTCCTGCAATGCTGTTTATTAAAATGCTAATTGCCTGACAACTGCTATTTCTCCAACAATGCTATATTTCCTTCATTACTTCTTCCAACCAAATTGTATTATTATTCTGTAAAATTCAAGCCCTTTCTGTAAAGCATATATGGATGCTATTTTTGAATTTCATATTTGTTCTGGGATGTGACTTTTTTAAAAATACTTTTAGTTAATTGATATCTGAGACACAGTTTGGAGAAAAAGTGAAAAAAAAGTACTGCAATCTGAACAAAATTTATAATGAATTAAAATCTTAAATATTTCCTATTTTAATACCTTTATAAATAAATTTTCCTAGTGATTAGTAACTGAAACATCTAAAATATGAAAAAAAAATTCTTTTTTTAATCTAATATAATTTTCTAAACTGGCAAATTATTCTTAAAATAATTTTTGGCATGTGTCCAATAGAAGAATCTTGGTTTTTAGATCACTTTCAGTTCTACTTCTATCAAAGGAAGAAACGTCTAATTTTGTGTGTGTGTGTGTGCGTATGTGTGTGTGTGTTTATACTTATATTACTATTTAAATCATTAGGATACAAAGATCTACTACAAGAACTCTAAAAGAAAAGTAAACTAAAATTACCTTGGAATGAGTTTAGTGACTTTATGTATGCTATTTACTTGGCAGGCATACAGAAATGGTCTGCCACTGCCTTTTTCTAGCTTACTGTCTGAGTTTCCAGTCTGGCCAATTGCCCTGACATTCATGGGGTTTCCCATCTGATTCTGCTTGATTTCTAAGTCCAAGAAAAGTTGTCTGGGGAAAAGGGTGCTGTGTATTCAAATAACTTTATCTTAAACATCAGCAAAACCTCATACTTGTGCATGAAAGACAGATATGAAATAATTTCATCATTAACACAAAACTACAAACCTGGAGTATGATGTCATACAAAATAAGGAATAGTTGCAGTTCACACTAAGAAAAGGGTATTAATTTTTGAGCAGCCTGTACCTGTGTGACTTCGAATATGTACTCTCAGAGTTCCATTACTTGCAAACTTCTGCCCACAGTATGGACAAATCTTCTCTTTTTCACCTGTGTGAGTCTATAAAGGGGAAATATAAATAGTTAATTTGCTTGCAAAAGAAAGCAAAATTAAGTCTTCATTTTTAAATTTTATTCTTCCAAGTTTTTTTAATCGTTCATCTATTTCACATAGTACACTGTGATATTAAATTTAGGTTTTAAAAGCTTTAAAATTTAATATTGTTTCACCTTGCAACATTAATATAACAATTTCTAAACCAACATTCAAACAGCCAAGAAATATACCTTTTCCAGGGTCCTCTAGTGAAGCTGCTACAACTCCATAACAAAGTCCCAGTGGATGCTGACACATTATCTCCACATGACTCGGCCATATTAAAAGGTAAACGTGCCAACTCACATGATCAGCAAAAGGAGTTGGTGTTTTCGAGTTCAGTATGATAAATCCATTTCCCAATCTTTGCAAACCCAAAATGAAATGTTTTTAAAACTATTTGACAAATTAATAAAAGTTGCAAAATATGTCCAAATGCAAGTAACTGGACTTAAATCAGATTCACAAAATGAATTTGATTTAAAGTAATAGATTCAGTGAAGGAGAGACTGAAAGAGATATATGCATGTTACATATTTAGAACTGACTGAAGAAATTAAAATGCCTTCCTGAAGTTCAGGTTTGATTCCTTTACAGCAGCAGAAAACTGACTGAATGGATAAGTAATCCATTGGTTTTCCCTAAGAAGATTGAAAAAGATTGGGAAATGGATTTATCATACTGAACTCGAAAACAACTTAAGTGGACTTTGGGGGGAATATAGATCAACTTTGGAGAATACAGGGGTCCCCAACCCCCGGTCCATTGACCAGTACTGGGCTGCAGCATGCCAGCAACCAGTCTGCACAAACAAGCAAAGCCCCATCGGCTGGATACAGGTAGCACACAAAACCACGCACCCTCCGGTCCATGGAAAAACCCCTCTCCACAGAATGGGTCCCTGGTGCCCGAAAGGTTGGGGACCTCTATTCTAATAATTTATACATTAAATGTGAATTATGTAAAATAAACTTTGTGCAATAAATAATTATGTTCCTTTTTTAAACTTTTATAAAGTTATTTTTTTATTATACTCACTTTTTTATGGCTCTTTAAAACAGATGGTGTTACGAAGGCTTTGTCACAAAGATCACATTTATATTTCTTATGGCCATCATGAACAACTTGTATGTGAACATTCAAAGTATCCTTCCGTTTGAATGTAGCATCACAGTGATCACACTTAAATGTTCTTTCACCTAAGAGAAAAAACATGTTAATATTATCTATTGAACATTATAAATAAATCAATAAATTCTGCTCACTAGGCTGAAAGAAGCCAATTTCTTCTATGTCGGGTAAATAGAAATTTGAATGCATTTATTGAAAGATTTTTTCCTCCAATCTAATTAGGCCACAGAGTAATGGTAGACTTAAGAGACAAAAGTCCTGGTGATTGTTATGCAATATGTGTTCTTGTCTTCCATTGCAGTTACAGAACTGCTAAAAATTATCACTGCAGAGCTGTTACTCTATGAACCAATGTAAATGCCTTGTGTTGTTGAGGGAATTTTTTTTTTATTGCTACAAGCTGATCTTTGGCTTATAAATTTGCAATGACTTATGACTGTAATTCTAGGCTCAGTTATGGTCGTAAGTTAAGGACTATCTGTATAATGTCTTGGAACTAGAGAAACAACTACCAAGTAACTATCAATAGAACCTTACTGCCTGTAATGAATTTTATAGTGGAGAAATATAATCAGATATTTGTCAATAAAAATTATATTTTATATATAAAATTAAAATTAAATGTACTATATTATGCAATATTTTCATCATAAACATTATTTTCTTTGCAACGAAATTTGTGTGTGTGGTGTATGCATCACCATTCATTATATCAATCCCAGTTTTTTAAAAACCTATGTGAGCAACTGCAAATAATTTATAGCAAAGAAAGACCACAATTCATTGGTTGAAAAGTTCTACATAATTTGGTCAGAACAGGTATTATTTTACATGGACAACTTATTTTCAAGTGTACAATCTATCAATGTGTTTATTGAAAGAAACTTTAAAGGAACAAACCTTATCATTCTAGGTTAAACAGCCAAGGAGCTGACTATTCAGGCTAGATAATTTTGAGCACTAAAAAAATCATTAATAATCTCTGAAGCTTGCCCTATTTTATTTGTTTAATTAATTAAATTTATTTGTCACCAAGCTCACTGTTGGGTGACTCTGGACACTTTATAGATCATTAAAAAGCAATATAAAATAATTAGAACATTAAACATTAAAAACCTTGAACATTACATGTGTTGCACAGCCTCCTGAACATAATTATATCTATTGTCCATATTATATTCATTATTAAAGACCATTTTTCTATTCAGCCAAACAGATGCAATGAATCCTTAACTTACAAACTAAATGCAGATTTCATATTAATTGAATTTTACTATTTATACTATTTATACTATTTATACTAGTTTAACGAAGAGAAGGATGAGGAGGGACATGATAGCAGTGTTCCAATATCTTAGGGGTTGCCACAAAGAAGAGAGTGTCAGGCTATTCTCCAAAGCGCCTGAAGGCAGGACAAGAAGCAACGGGTGGAAACTAACCAAAGAGAGAAGCAACCTAGAACTAAGGAGAAACTTCCTGACAGTTAGAACAATTAACCAGTGGAACAACCTGCCTCCAGAAGCGGTGAATGCACCAACACTGGAAGTTTTTAAGAAGAAACTGGACAGCCATTTGTCCGAAATGGTATAGGGTTTCCTGCCTGAGCAGGAGGTTGGACTAGATGACCTCTGAGGTCCCTTCCAACTTTATCATTATCATTACTACTACTACTACTACTACTACTACTACTACTACTACTACTACTATTATTATTATTATTATTATTATTATTATTATTATTATTATTAGTATTAGTATTATTTTATCATGTCCATGGGTGCAAAGCTGTGTGGATGTATGTGGATGTATATGTATAAAGTGTCTATCCATTTTATATAAAATATAAAATTGTAATCTGATAAGGAGGTTTTGTTAGATCAGAAAATTAAGAATGCATTATTCTCGCAAGTACTGAGACTTTGATGATCTGTGAACCGCTTTATCATCTATATTTCTACTTACTATTATGAATCAGAAGATGTCTTTGTAGAGAGAATGGTGTTCGGAATAGAGCTTTACATTCTTCACACTGAAATGGTCTTTCTTCAGAATGTGTCTGTAGATAAAGAACATATATAACTATGGCTAAGCTTGCTGACTGTAGTAAAAAAAGATAGTGTTTTATTTGATCAAACAAAAATGAAAGATTTAATTCTGCATGCTTAAAAAATGAAAAGTTAATAATTTGAGCAGATACATCTAATAAATACATATAAATAAAATATACACAGGAATGCATTAAAAGGACATAAACTTCGCTATAGGCTTTGTTTGGTGTTTCATAAGATGCCAAACCTCAAAGGTCCTCTAAATATTATAGATATTCACATAAAGCAATCTTCTATTAATTTTTAGTTAATAGTTTAACCTGCTTTCTAAAATATAGAATAATTTAGGATGAAATTCTAATGTCACAAATCCAAAGTTATTTGGCACTAAAATGGGAATGTTTGGATGAATGGATTCCCATCTGCTACTTTTAAAGTGTATGATAAATGTATGTCACAAAATACCCCTTCCCTATTTTTTTAAACATTCAATGTATTAACAGAATATTTTAACATTATAGAATTTAAAAGTTAAGGGAACCATGTTATCACAAGGCTATGTGCAGTTAGTATACACTGAATTCTTATATTGAAAAGTAATGTTAAAGGTGAAGAAAGAAAGAAAGAAAGAAAGAGAGAAAGAGAGAAAGAAAGAAAGAAAGAAAGAAAGAAAGAAAGAAAGAAAGAAAGAAAGAAAGAAAGAAAGAAAGAAAGAAAGAAAGAAAGAAAGAACTGGGAGAGGCTATTAAAAGCTTTTCCCTATTTGATTCATTCTTACAGATGTATCTATAAGACCCTATTTATATATAACTAAAATAAGGAAAATAAGTTCCACTTGTCTGGTCCGGAAAATAAAAGAAAACAGAATTTAATAATACCAAGCTGCTAAAGCTTAATTACATTAAAATAGCAATAGCCAATAGCCAATAGCAATAGCACTTAGACTTATATATTACTCCATAGTGCTTTATATACTACTCCATAGTGCTTTACTTCTCAGCAGTTTACAAATGTTAACATCTTGCCACCAACAATCTGGGTCTCATTTTACCAACCTCAGAAGGATGGAAGGCTGAGTCAACCATGAGCCAATCAGGATTGAACCCCTGGATGTGGGCAGAGTTAGCCTGCAATGTTGGATTCTAACCACACCACTACCATGGCTCCTCCTCCTTAAGTTTATGAAATCATAAGTAGAAGAAATTCCAAAGGATTTTATCTACCATAACACCTGGTAATAAATAACAGAAATAAACAAAGGTTTCTATTTTTCTACTGGATTCTTCAAGCCCTTGTAGCAGATTTCAGAGACAAGTTGACTAAATGGAAACTGGGCAAATATGGTCTCTATTATTAGTGAATAAGTTTATAGGCAACACCCTCTCAAAAAAATTCTTTAAAATGTGATGATGCAATAATGCTTACCAGCTCAGCTGAAGCTTAAGAGGGATGGAACCAAATAAAACCTCTCTAGAGACAGATTTTTGTAACATAAAGACTGAAACTGCCATGTCTTGAATCTCAATCAGTCATATTCGTACAAGTATTGAGAAGATTGCAAGAGTCTCCAAATCTGACTGCAGGATTCCTAATACATTACAGAAGGATCAACACTTGAACTGCATCAAGAAATGAATCACAATTTCTCTCTTCATACTTAAGTAAAAGTCTAATGATGCTTTTAGTGTTCCAGAATTGGAATGGCCATGTCATTCTTAATGAATAGATTGGAAGGTCCTTCAAAGGCAGCTCTGGCAGATCATTTCACCCCTCATATCTGCCTACGGATTATACAACAAACATCTTCCTATTGTAATTTAAGATTCATCCAGACTAGTTTCAGGAACACAGATTGTAAATATATACTGAACAAACATTTAGATTTGAGTGAATGTGGCAGCTCCACAGTAGAAGAGCAGGCTGCTGAGAAAATTTCAGGCACTTGTGCTGTCTTTCTGCCTTCTTATTTGAGACTTCTTCCCCATGTTAACGTAAGACAATTGCTTATAAAAGATCAACCTTGAAACACCTGGGGGAGAAGATGTGTGGGTTTTGGAAGCTCTGCAACAACAGCAACAGACAAGAAAACAGACAAATAAAAAGAGTTTTTTGTCTTCATAGAGATTGAGGTGAAGACGAAAAAGAAGAGGCATAACAAAGCAAAGCCAAGTATAATATTGGGAAGGTGCCAGTGAATATTATGAACATCTACCAGGCTCTTGTCCCACCCTGCAGCTTTTAAATTCCAATGCTGCTTTTTTATGCTTTAGTGTCAATATTATTTCCAAGAACATTTATGAATTCTCCATAGACTTATAGGAATTTTAGCGAATAAAAATGGGTGCAATCCAAGGCTTTGTAAATTACCAGCACCAGAAAAAGAAAAAGATCCATCAATAGCAGTAAGGTGGGAGTTGATTTGGTTATTATAAGAGGACTGGCAGTGTGGCGGGAAAACACTCTTATTTACCTTTGGATAGGATATATATGATTAGCTCACCCTTCTTCATAATCATTTTCAGAATGAACACCCTCCCTCCAATAATTAATGTGCCATTAAAATGTCAGTTGTGCCCCTTATCTAAAACAGATTGAGGACCCTGTTTTAGAAGCAGACAATACCTTGCTACCTGCCCTCAACTGCAAATAATACTCTCTGTTTAGGCTGAAAAAAACTCTAGGCAAGATATACAAGATGCACTTTCTCAAGTATCTTTGTTACTGTGCTTTTCTTCTGAAAAAACTCTAGGCAAGATACACATGGATGCACTTTCTCAAGTATCTTTGTTACTGTGTTTTTCTTCTATGTCCACAACTCCACTTCTATATTCACAACATCTTATCAGAAAACTCTAGTACTTTTGCGTTCTTTCTACTCTATTCCCCAACAAGCATGGCCATTGATAAGGATTCTGAGCACTGTATTAACATATGGAGAGTGCCCAGACCAGAATATATTGTTTTAATTTTTAAAACATCCCCAGTTTCTCCAGAAGGGAAAAAAAGGAGGAAAGGGCAGGTCTAATTCAGCCCTAATTCTGATAGCGCATTTGCAATGAAAGGATCATAATTTCTGAGAAGAACCATGAGATTTAGTTTTCTCAGCCTTCTGGACTGAATCAGGAGACCAGCAAAAGCAGGTACCCCATTCTTCTCAGCTGATATTTTCTGCTAATGTTTGGACAGTGACTTGGAAACTTCTGATGCAGAAAGTGCATTGTGCTATGTTTCCAAGTTGTCCCTCAATTACATAAACAAACATTATGTCAATAGTGATGTTAGACTTCTTCTGGAAGCAGTATGTAAAGAAGCTCGGAATGCTTTTACACAAAGTCTGATTCAATAATAGGGTTGCTGCTAAGAAAAGCCAAATAATTTCTCAATAGAAAGAGACTGAGCTACCTTCTCACCTCAACTGGTGTATCCTCCAGAACAGGGCTGAGACATTTGGATGAGACTTTGCTGTGGGGAAGCTTGCACTGCTGCTGATTGTGCTGTACCTGTTCTGTGGATAAATATAAGGGTTCAGTCTCTAGGGCTGTACATATGGCACATGCATGAGTGAAAATTTCCCCCCCATTTAATAAAACACTTAGGATTTTACTTAGGTGAGTGGCTATCCTAGGTTTGGAACTCCTTAAACAACTTCTGAATTTTTTAAAAAATATTGCTTATTTAGCATAATGCTAATTGTCAGCATTTCATGCTTAAGAAAGATCAATCATATTTAGTATTTATAAACTTATTTTAGTCTGGATTCAGATCTGGGTTTAAGACCATCAAAACACTCTGATTCCTCAGAGAATTTTTGTTGGAAAAGTGCAACAGAACACCCTCTATAAGTCCCCTACTAGATTCTAGATTCCCTTATTTAATATTGAACATTAAATAGCTTTGAATTAAATTCATGAGTTATTTTTTTAAAAAATAGAGTCATGTTGAGATATTGAAAAATTAAGCAGAGAATGATCCATAGCCTTATCTAGTAACAAGGTATTTTTCTTCTTATCTAACATGATATATACCTCAATTCACAGCTTGACTTTTCACAACAGAAATAAACTGAGTTTGCTTGTCAAAGCTTTCGCGACAAGAATAGGCAATCTAAGGCCTCAAGAACACATGCAGTGCAAGCACCTTTTTGTGTGTGTGGCCTCACTTTGTGTTAATTAAGTACAGTGACATGATTGCTACAAATCAGTGGTGCTATTTCCCACTGTTATTAGGCAGGGGACACACTAAATGTAGTGTTAACCCCAAAATAGTACAGGATTGTACAGGACAGAAGAGGAAAGGAATTTCACACCTCCCCCCCCCAAAAAAAAACCTGGGAACTCTCTCATAAACATTCCTATGTGCTACAGTCTATCCATTTTTCATCACCAAATCAGTTTTCATTACTTATCACAAAAAGGAAAAACAAATGTTAAGACTGCACATCTCTGGTTTAATTGAAACTTAAACCAGATCTATTTCAACCTGTGATGCCTGAAGTAGAACGTTGAATAGAAAGTACTTTGAATTCTTTCTCAACTCTGTTTATAAATTCCATCATTTGGAACATCTAGGTAGGATGCCTTAGTTAAAATCTGCAACTGGCTTTCCTTTTTAATTTTCCTATAGTATTGGGATAAACTGCTTCAGGGCCATAATCCATATATTCACTGAGATTGACTACCTAGCATGAAAAACCTATTGCTTCCAAGGCCTGACATAGCCATTCCTTTAATCTCAGAAGGACATTTTTCCTGCCATCTGTCTAATATGTTGTATAGGTTGATCTGTCTAAGAAAGAAGAGGTTTATGATGCTGCTTAGGATAACCTTATTTTCCCATTAATCCTATAACTGTGCTGAGTTAGATAGTTTCTATCTTGTTCATGTGACACAGTTTAAAGTTTAAATACCTAATCATGTTATATAGTTTGTTGAATACGGCATCAGTCCTCATGAGATGTTTAAATCAAATCTGTCGTGTATTTTGGACAATCATCTGAACTGGTGAGAACCAAACTGGCATGTATGATAAGATGGGAAATGGACCTTTGACCTGCCTGTCTGATTATTTGAGCTACTCTATTGCTTCTAAAGATATCTAGATGCAACCATTCATGGTGGATACAATTAGATTTTGGTATCTCCATCCACCCAAACTATCAAATATATGGAAAACTTTCTGGAATTTCCACATTTCTGGTACCACTTCTCCCCTGAATTTATAGCACATACAGGGTCCCTTACTCATTTTCTGAAAAAAGGATCCTATTCAAGTGGGATTTCAATGCTAAATGTATTTTTTATCTTCCTTTACTTATTCTGCCACCCAGATTCCATATATGCATCATACCACTAACATCCATGCCTGTTGTCTAATGTTTTATTGTACTTTCCAATCCAGAGATCTTTCATTTTATCAAGAAACTCCAAATAGCATTTCCTCTATGTGATTGTTTAAGAAGCTAAAGGGAAGATTATTGAATCAACTCAAAGGAGATCAGTCCTGTCACCTTTGGCCTGCAGATTTAAGCTATAATGAAGATAAATGTGATTTATCCCATTTCCTACTTTTTCCTTACACACCTGCCTCCTTTACTGATATATAAATGGAAAGCTGTCCATCTATAATCTATAAGATATAGTAATGTTACAAACTTCAATCTCAGCTGATCAGAATCTCAACAGAGGTCAACAGCTCTGTTGTCAACAGCTGACAATTAAAACCTGAAAATACATTTCCACAAATTATTGCAAATCTCTCAAAACTATCTGTAAACCTTTTCAACAGCAATGTTTATTATATTCAATTCTCTTCCTATTCCATCTCATTTTAATCAATATTTTTATCTATGTCCTCAATTTAGGATATAACAGTTGAATTTTTTGAAAAACAAAATAAAAGCAAGTATATTTCGGATGCTTTCCCCTACAATCACTTTCAAGTTAATTTTTTTAAAAAGGTTTTATATATTTAAGTTAGATTGTGATATGCGTGTATGCTAGTTGTCTTTCATCTGAACTTGTGTATCTTGTTTGTCTTAAAAAGAACAGTTACAATTGTTTCACCATGCAAAAAATATTTTGATTATTATTTTCATATGCTTTATGGCTGAAAACAAAAAAGATGGTGCAAAGATTCAGTGCCAAATTCCCAGATGACATATAACATGAGCCAAACTGTGAAAAGTATGTCTATGTTTTGGTATATCTGTTTCATCAAAGTGTTGGCGGCATGGGGAGGGGGGAGAGAAAGAGCAAAGGATCCCAAATGTTAAGCAGGAAATTCTCTCTCTCTTTCTCAATAGTCTTACCATTCTGTAGAAGAAGTAGCAGTCAAGGGTGCAGCCAGCCCACTGAAATTGTGACCCGGGGTCAAAAGTCATGACAGGCATTATCTAAATTAGGGTAGGCAGATTGTCGCTTAAATCACACAGCCGAGGGTCTCTATGTAGACTAAAAAGTGAAATTTCTCTATATTTTTATGGCAGAGTTCCTTCTTTTAACTGGAACACAGTACAAATTGTAATATTTCTCCCAGTAGTCATAATGATATAAAATGACTACAATTTTACTACAGGTTTCCCCTTCCTTCCTTCCTTCCTTCCTTCCTTCCTTCCTTCCTTCCTTCCTTCCAATAAAATTTCCTAGTCAATTAAAGAAACACCAAACAATAACCAGGAACCTGCTAGATCTGTAAGTTAATGTACGTAACAATATTTTGCAAGATTTAAAGCTTTCTAAGCATGCCAAAGCGTACTGATCCATCCGTGTTAATGAGCAATAGCTGCAAATCTAAGCCTGGCAGAGCTGTAAATAACAACAGCAGAATGTTTTCGGGTTGTTTTTACCTTCTTGTGATTCTTGTAAACATTTCTGTGGGCAAATCCCTTTCCACAAAGCTTGCATTTATAGGGTTTATCTTCACTGTGTATTATTTTGTGTGCAGTCACTTGATCAAGTCGTTTGAAGGACTTATTGCAAACCTCGCAGGTGTAAGGGCGTTTTTCTGTAGAAAATGAGTGGGGGGACATTTAAGCTCTTGTTTATATTGGGCTAGAAGATGAAAGGCAGAAACATTCATCTCCTCAGAGATGTCTGCAATGAAGTCAACCCAATTAAGATTAAACCAATTAGAAAGACATCTTATGCTCTTTACGTTATACAGTTAAGTCGCTTCCCAAAATATAAGCCATGGCGCATCTTGAGAAATTGGCACGTTCTTTGCAACAATCACAGCAAAAACTAAACTCTGATTAATTAGCTTAAATCAAAAGAGAATGACTTCAAAGAGGCAAAGCTTGTTGCCAGACTAACAATGAGAAAGAGGGCATAATAATTTAAACATTTTAAAACTTAATTAGTAATACACATACGATAGCATATTCATTTCTATTAAAATTCAGTTGATATGTTTAAGTTTTCAGCTTTTAGTTGTTAGCTGAACTCTTACTGCTATCCCATTTTAATCCATAACCTCAATAAACATCTAAAAGTCTCTGAAATCCATTTTGCTTCTTTGTTTAAACCAGTCAACCAGAAGCTGTGAGATGAAGATAGCAGATAACAATAAAACTATTTTGCAACGCTGGAAATTGTTTTAGAAGAATTGGGGGTAAAGGAAACAGAACATAATTGAATTTCTACTGCCTATGGAAGATATGGTTTGGTTTAAGGAAAACAGAAGCATTTTGCCTTCTGTGCTCTGTGTTAGTCCACAAAAATAGCTATCATTAAAGGTTCATCTCTGCATCACTTGTATGCAATGATACTAGTAGGGTAATAATCAAATGATTAAAAACAGTTTAATAACATTTTAAGAAAAGTGATCACGTTGGCAAAAGTGTCCAAGCTGTAGTTGGGATAGAACTGCTTTCTAGGAGGTTATGCACAACCAATTAATGGTAAAGCATTGGAATTATATATGTAGCCTTAAACTCATAAAGCCATTAAAACCTGTCTCTGGATCTCAATCATTTTAGGCAGCTATCTGCTCAAAGTATACTCTTTCAAAAGAAGTGTGAAAATGTACTGTTTAGAAATACAAGGCATTCTTATCAAAAGAATCGCACCCCAAAAAGAAGTTATTTAGGCTATGTATTCCTTATATGATAGTTCTACTTTTCCAGCCTTCACATTACAGATGAATTTGATGACATTCAAGAATTATTAAATAGTGTGGCCAAAGAAATTCTGACAGTTATAGTGTATATGTTGTAGTGTATATCTGAAATCTGTTATGCCAGGAAAGGCTGTAACGGCACTATGATGTATTTGTTTATTAGCATTTAACACCATACAATTTTTTTAAAACACTAATGTAAAAACAATTTTAAATAATCTGAGGTATTTTATTTGACAGAGAAGTCTTTACCTGAGTGAGTTATCATATGACGTTTTAGCTGATTAGCTGAAATAAATTTCTTGTCACATTCTTGACACTCCACTATTTCATGAACCTGCAATATGAATATTTAATATTAATTTAGTACATTGCACATATATAACCTTCATCATTTATATTATAAATAGCCTGCTTTTCAAAATTATAAAAACAAATCCTAACGTAAACAACAAATAAATGCAATTTACAATAAATTAACTGGAAAACCTGATCAACTGGAAAAATGATGCAGAAAATAATTATTTTCTCCTTTCGCTGAATCTGAGGGGTATTACCTTTAACACCCTAATAATGAAATGATTATTAGTTTATGAGTTTCTATGCCTTGTGTGAACATCCTACCAAATTACCACTCAATATCCTGTCACAAAACTGAATGTGATCCTGATATCCTGAATCTTAACTGATTATTTAGAAGAAGCAAAACAGATAGACCTATAGTTCCCATGTATACTCTATTTACATATATAATACTGTAGAAATCGTGGTTTTACTTTTAGAGGAAGCTTAATTAAGTGGCTTTTTTTTTTTTTGCTATACCTGACTTTCTTCCCAACTTTAGTCTTGAAAATTAGTCCTGAATGAAGTAAGCTGCCTGAAATAATCAGACCCAAAAGAGGATCAGATGCCTCTTTCCTTATGCTTTTTCAATAAGATCACTTGTTTTCAACACGCAGTAAGCTTATATTTGTCACATCTGGTTTTGTCCTATCCAACTAATTTGATAAAAAACAAAGGGATTCCTTATCTTTATAAAGTCAAGAAGTGATCTTGAGTCCTGCTGTCCTCTTGAATATATCACCCTGCTACCTTTTTGGGATTTTTTTTTTCTATACTATACTACCAAGTATAAACCTGCTCAGCTTCAGTCAAGTGCTGCTGCCAACAGTTGATGCACATACTTAGTATACACACAAGCTTGATATATCCTCATGTATGAGACTTAACCAAAAAAACATTTTCTGATCTGGAAATAAAACAACAGAAAATAATATTTTAAAGGGAAAGAAAGGAGTAAATGAATCATAGAAATGTTATTTTTCAGACTCCTTTGTGGTGAATGTTGATATATAGTCCATAAACTTGCTAATAGTTTTTCCTTAATATTATAAGCCTCTAAAAAGATTATCTAATTCAAGCACTGTGATCTGATCTTTAAAGACAGTTCTAAATACTTGGCTAGACTTGGAGTTTATGATAGAATTAGCTTTGTACTTCAACATCTGTGAAACTTTTTTTGCTTCTTATTGTTATGAAACGTGGGCCAGTACTTTGCCTTGAAATAAAGTTGCTTAGATTTCATGAAGTACAAAGCTTTTTATGCAAGATTACATTCATGCCTATGGACACTCTGGACATAGCCTACAGTAAACTTCTATTTGCACTGGAAATAAACATATTTATTTATATAATACCGTGTTTTTCCGTGTATAAGACGCTATTTTTTCCTGCAAACACCCTGTTCAAAAATCAGGTGCGTCTTATACAAGTGCAATGTCTTATACATGAAAAAATAATGATAAACTCTGCAGTCCAGGGCATGCCTGTGTGGGTTCTTTACATGCCGCTGCCATGCCACCTGGTGCAGGTGTCAAGCCCCTGTGGGCTTGCCACTAATGGGAGGGGGAGGGGGCAAGATTGTTGGATGGCAGCCTCCAGAGGCAGCAGATGGGACCAGCAGCATGGATGGCAGCAACAGCCCTTTCCCTCCCTCGTACCTGTATTCTGGCCGGGGACCCTGTGGAATGCAGCTGCAAGGTTGTCCTGCTTGATAATAGCGGCCGGCTGAACTTCCGGATTTGCCGGCTCAGCTGTTCAGCGCTCCGCCGAACAGCTGATTGGCATGGAGAAACGACAGGGAGTTTAAAACCTGCCTTCGTTTCCCTTGCCTTGCTATCATGCCAGTTTGTTTACCAGGGTCGGAAGGCTGACTATGCATGCTCATCGTGCCGGATGCTGTTTAGGTGGGTGGGGATGGGGGCGTCTGTGAGGCCTCTATTTAGAGTGCTGGGAGGTGGTTGCTCCCAGCGCTGACTTTGTTTGCTGTAAGCCTGGAACTCGCATGCCAGAACATCTTATACAAGGGTGCGTCTTATACACGGAAAAACACAGTAATATAAATCTTATCCTGCTGGCGCTTATGCTTCACTCCTCACAAGTCTGTACTCCAAGGAATTGTCATTTTACATACATGTCATACGTGTTATAGGAAGAGCCTGTAATTCTGAGCTAGAACATGGGTTTACACATCTGAGATGACAGATCTAGTCTATGATATATCCAGTTTTAAAGTTCATGGATAGCAAAACTGACACAAGTGTGTGGATAACATCTAATGAAATGTCAGCCACAATAACAGATATTTTATCCTGCATGCTTTATGTCTCTCTATCATTGACAGTGCTGAAACAGTTACTTCTTTTTGTTAAGGTCTATAATTTCTCTTCTTCTTTCAAATATTGTTAATAGATAATTAAATACATAATTGAGCAAGGGCACAATGGCTTACTGTTAAAGACACTGAACCTAAGAGCTGGAAAGCTGGTGGCCTGGGTTCAAGACCCAAGTGCTGTGCAATGGGATGCCTGCCCCAACTCCTGCCCAACTAGAAGTTCAAAAGCATGCAAATGTGACTAGATAATTAGGTACCACTTCAGTAGGAAGGTAACAGCGTTCTGTGCGCCTCAGCGTATAGTCATACTGGCCACATGACCACAGAAATGCCTTCAGACAATGCTGGCTCCTTCAACTAAGAAATGGAGATACACACTGCCCCCTAGAGTCAGACACAACTGAATAGGGGAAACTTTACCTTTACTTTTGCTTTATGTTTCTCTATGATTGACAGGGGTGAAACAGATACTTCTTTTCTTTAAGTTCTATAATTTGGCTTCTTTCAAATCATTTTCATAGAAAATTAAATATAAATATTTTAGTGCAGGATAAATGCACTAAAGTGCATGACTAACAGTGCTGATAATATTTAGGAAAACAAATAGTGCAAGAGAGGCTTTTGTTAAAAGAAAAATCATTTGATTTAAGTGGCCATTAAATTATTCTCATGGGAATAAATGTGGAAAGGTTAAACGTGGAAAATGTGTATATAATAATGTATGAAAGAAGAAAAATGCAAATAAGAAATAATGGGGCAATAAGGATAAATACTCTAAAGAAGAATAAGGGGGAAAATGTAAATAAATAGAAGATTACTGTTACGAAGTTGATGTTAAAATATATATTGTGTATATATGTGTATTATGTTTTNAAAAAAATTATTCTCATGGATTTAGCATCTATTCATAATTTTAAGCATTCAGACTATACAGTAAAATATAATATATATCTAAGGCTAAATTGCTATCTCTAGGACAGGAAAGAAATACACAATAGTGTTTTGCTTTAACTTTGATTTAACATGGTAATGAAAATAAATACTTTGGTTTCAGACTACTGTGTTTGTCAGCTGGAAAAAAAAACCTGGACAATTTGTGTTTTAGCAGCTCTCAAGGGACTGATCTCTCTGGCCTCTACCCTAGAAAAGTTGAAACCTACTGGGGGTCAACTCTCATTCAACTGACCTTTCGATGCTCTTGAAGATTTGCTGCTGAAGAGCACCTCTTATTACATACTGAGCACATCAGCCTCTTCCTAGAGTTTCCTAAAACAGAAAGAAAAATACCACCGACAGATTTAATAAAGAAGTACAAAGGACAGGGCTAAATGTTTTCATTGCCTGCACCATTTTTCACAGGTCATTTAATGGGTACAAGAATTTTACACTCTTACTCCATCTCTAACATATTAAATTACAAGACAGACTCTGTAGGTATCCTCCAAAGATTTTGCCTATGAAATGTAGACCAAGAAGAGTTTCATTTCTCTGAACAAAGCAACCCAATATAGTATCTGTGTAGAACAAGAAATATTTCCATGAACACGAAAGTATGCTACATATAGTAATTACTGTTTTCAAGGAATATCATAAAATATTTGCATAAAGGAAAGAATAAACTGAAAGTTCAAAAGTTACTCTGATTTAGTCTTATGGGTTTCAGCATTAAGGCATGCTAATAAGACAGTTATTATTATTATTATTATTATTAATAATAATAATAATAATAATAATAATAATATTCAATTGTGTTCCAATTCTCAAAGTCTCTGTAGTTTTCTTGGAAAGTTTTCAGAACTGATTTGCCATTGCCTCCTTTCTTGGGCTGACAGAAAGTGACTGTCACCAGCTTTGTGCCTATGGCAGGACTAGAACTCACAATCTCCTGGTTCCTTAACTACTACACCAAACTGATTCTCAAAACAGCATTATAGCTATATAAAATATGAATCAGCATTGGCAGGATAAACATCAATATATTGTAACTAATTCCAGATAATATCAGACTCAGAAAGTGTGTTCAGCTGTATTATAAACATAGTTATAATCTCACTAACTAAACACACTGACAACTTGAAAATATTACAGGATAATCATTTCTTTAATAATCTAAATAATTTGTGTGGCATAAAGCAACTGGTATCACAGGTAAAGATGGTGAAAATGCTAAAACCAAGTGAGTTAGCATGAACAAAACATCTCTTCTCAAAGTGTTAAAGCAGCTGTGTCCTTTGAAAAGGTTATGTTGCCACTTCAGAGGGTGTCCCCAGCTGCCTTCATATCTCTGTATTCATCAACAGAAGCTTGGGTTCAATGGTGATCCCTGCAGAAATACTGTCTGTGGAGCTCCATGCATGCATATAAAATCCAGGCAAGTCTTCAAAGTAAAAACATTTGACTCTTCAAAGGTTGCAGCTACTTTAATGGTAGAGTGAAGGATGCATCCTTCCTATTAACATATGTTATGAAGTCCTTATGTACTTTAATTAGAATTTTCAGAGAACTATTACTAATTAAACGAAGAGTCATATTCTACATCTTGTGCAACCACTCATTTTCTTTGTGACAACCTTTTGCTGCTAGTTGAGGCATCCATGTAACTGGATGTGATTTTACAATACTTTTTGTGGAAGTTATTAAGCAAATACTTTGGTCATAAGTGGAAATCATTCAAATGGGTGTTTCTGTCAGAAACCAGCAAAAAAATGGTAGAAACGGGCAAATAATATTGCAAATTATGGTCATGTGACCATAGAACACTTTGACCAGTCATAAAGGTGACCAGTTGCCAAGAATCCAATGTATAGTCATATGACCATGGAGGGGTCATAGCGCGACCATTTACGACAGCCAGGGAGTGTTTTACAGACCATAAAGTACCTGTTCCATGGCTATCAGAAATATAAACAGTCTTTAAACAACTGATCGTAAGTTGAGGACTATCTGTAATTTTTTTCAAGGCTTAGTATATCCAATTCTTTAAGCTCTTTTCATACGTTCTAATCTTTCAATTGTCTTTATTATCCTTTTTTGGATCTCAGGTAATTTTGATGAACTATTCTTAAAATCTTTAAAATTTGGGGTAGGGTCTGACCAAAGTAGAACAAATGGAACTACTATAGCCAAAAAAAGTTTTTTTTTAAGAAACCTGTATGATAATAACGCCTTTAATGCATAATTTTAATTCAATCTAAAGTTGTATTTACCCTCTTTTAACAATATCACACTGCTGGCTCATAATCAGTTTGTAAGTAAATATCCTCATCTTATACTTGTGTATTTTATTTTTATTTTCCAAGTGGTTTTGTACTTATCTTTGTTTGTACTTAAATTTCATATTGTTATTTTTAATTGTTTCTCCTATCAAAATAATTTTGAATTTTAGTTCTATCTTCGGCAGATCTGTATCATTTGCAACCTAAGCTCTCCTTCCACCTCTTCATTCAAATGTTAATGAAAATACATAACTTTTGCACCCAACTTGGCTCACTCCAATTTAATGAACTATCAATGAGCAATCTGAGCGTAGTGCTCCAAGTTTAGTTTAATTTAGTTTAGATTAAGTTTAGTACAGTGTAGTATTAGTATAAGTATTAATATAGTATTAGTATAGTACAGTGCTATTATCAACTGCAATGAGTTTACAGATTTACAGTGAATTTACAGTGAATTTACAGATCAATCTTTTTTTTTAATTCACACTAGAATATTCCTAAGTATCAATATCAGACAATCAGTTTGTAGATTGTTCAATCTTCCCTTTACCTATTTTTGGAGATAGATGGGAAGAATATTTTCTCTCTTCTAGCTATTTGGCATTTATCAAATCCTCTAGTTCTTGAAGATTTCTCAAACATAAGAGATAAGGGACTGACCAGCCCAGTATTTCCCAAACACAGTATTGTGTGCCAACCTCATCAACTTTATATGGGGATTTCCACTCTGCTACCTAAGGAATTCTGGGAACTGAACTCCATCCAGTTAAAACTGCTGAGGCTGAGAAACCCTGTGCTATATCAACAGGTTCAGTATCCTTTCAGATAACGTGTATAGTTCTGAATATTTAGGTTCATTTGGACCATGTTTCTGTCAGCCTAAAATTGTAATCTTGCCTCTTCATTGTACCCCTCAACATTTGCTGATGGAACAGATTTTTTGTGTATGTGTTATAGAATACTAAATAAAGTAGGAGCTGAGTATCTACATTATTCAGCTTATCATGAACTTAACTGAAGAAGCTTCTTTTCACCACAATCTTTGCTTTCCTGAACAAATTCTAAACTTTCACTTTCTGGACATCAGTCTTTCAGTTCTAGACTTCATGGACATACTCTTTTTTGACATGATCTTCTTTTCATTTTCCATATATGTTTTCTTTTGTTTTCAGATCTTTCTTACTATGCTTTCTAAATAAGCATAGAGACTTCTCTTGTGGGATTCTGTATTTTTGCCCTTACTAAAATTGTTGCAATTTGTGATTTTAGTATCTATTTCTCTACAAACGTCCATCAAACTGAAGCTACTTTTCCCATTAACTTCTTATGCCATTTGTTAAATTTATTTTACTACATTTATATATTACCAGACTGAAAATAACAGGAGGTGACATTATTAACGAGTGGAGTACATCACCAAATTGGCCCAATCAGTTAAATATTGTGGAGAACAGCTGCTGGATATTTATGCCCTTCTGAGATGCAAAAATGCTATTGTGTCGAGTCAACCCTTTGAAGAAAAGACTCAGCCCCTCTGTTGGTTTTGAGGAAATTACTAAAAACTAAACTATTTCAGAGGGCATTCTCTTGATTTAATGCATTGCACCATTTCTATTTTTGTTATTTTATGTTAGGGTTTTAGGAAGATATTTTATGAGCTTTTAACTGTGTTATATTGTCTACCTATGAGCTGCTTGAGACAGGGTACATATTTAATAAATAACACCAGGGCCAAGTTTTTTATATCTAATTTTCTGAAGTCTGTGATACGTTTGACTATGCTTAGTTTTAGTCTCCATTAAAATGAGTAACTCCAGGATTACATAATTTGATACCCTCATATTCCTATTACCTCTGGTTACTCAACTAAGGATTTAATGAGTTATCTATTATTGCCAATCACTCTTCTAATCTTGCAAGAAGAAAGCTGTTGGAAAGACAGGCCAGGAGATCTTAAAAGGATGAAGCTTGGCAGCCTGTCACGTAAACATGATGGGGTAATTAAAGTATCCATCACTACTGCCTTATGCCTCTTTACAATATATGCAGTTTGCTTTTGGAAAATATCATTCACAACTCCTAGTAAGGGGGATGATATTAAACAGCAAGAACAATACTCATCATATTTATTCTTCTGTTATTTAATCCAAATATTATATATTGCCTTGTCAAGTTTATTCATATGGGTTTCTGAGCAGGAATCGATACTCTTAGTATACAGTGCAACTTTTTCATTCATTTATAGTTACTTCTGTTCATTTGAGGAAATGATAATCCTCAATTGCTATCTTCCAGCAATGAGAATCATCCCACAATGTCTTCATAATCCTACGAAATCTTATCTGACCTCAGGTTCATCTCATTTCTTTCCTATACTGTAGTATGCATACTACAGTATTTAATATTCTTTCTAACTTTTTATTTGGGTTGTTTAAAAAGCTTACTCCTTCTACAGGATTCAAGTCTTTGAATTTACAAATTCAACAGAGCTCAAGTTAAAATCCTTCTAATCAACCTTACCATGCTTTAGCCAAATGATTTTACAAATATTTTTGGCCATTTTACTAGTCCTTGTACAACATGTAAGATCATCAAGGAAGATGATGTTGATGGAAATATGTATGAACCATTACATAGGCAAAAGGGGCTAAAACATTTCTAAGTCCAGAACAATGACATATCATTGGAAAGCAGTTCAAACATGTCCCTAATTCATTAATGTATAAGAAGGAAGAGAAAGCACAGCAAAATCAGATTTGCAAGATTCTTTTTTAATAGTAATTTTATTAAAAATGACAGTGATAAAAATACAAACTAAAAAAAAAGAAAAAAAATAGGTACAGAAACATAAAGAGAAACACTTCCCCCTTCATCGTAATATACACAATTTTAGTAACTTATCACATTTTCTTAAAATACAACAAGCAAAAAGAAGTATGTGAACCCAATGTCCTTTTGAAGGTGCCAACTATAATTTGAGTCAGATGGCTATTCTCTCATCTTCACTGCTCTAAACCCCTCAGAGACTGTCTTGTGGCCTCCTTACAAATTGCAACTGTCTGGAACACTTGTAGGCAATCTCATGTCCTCTCCTTTTCCAGAGAGGAATTATGAGTAGCCAGTTCTTCATTCTGCCGTTGTCTAAAGGTGGAGTCATCTTCAGTTTTATCATTTTTTGCCTGGAAGACTTACAAGATTCTGGTATTACATCCAATCTCCATAAAAGCAATGTTATCCTTCTTGTGGAATTGATTCCTTGATCTGTTCTATTTAGTAGGACTGACATATTTTGCACCAGCAGACTATCATTTAGATACCTCCAATCTAACAAATTTCTCAATTTTCCAGAGTCCGGAAAAAATAGTAAAGGTTTGAAAAATATTATAAGATCACAACATTTGCATATTTTTTTATCTAGAAAATGGGAGGCAACTCTCCACTACACCAACAAGCAGTTAACAGGATTGGGAAACTCCATTTTAACAAAATTAACAGATATATAAAATATAAATAAATGTAATTGTCAAGATTGCTGTACCCAAAATGATTTGTTTTCCCTTTCAAAAAAACTGCTTACAAAGGCTCCAAGAATCTAGTTTTCTTGGTTGTATTTGTTGACAGAGTTATGGTCCCTGAAACCAAATATCTCAAAATATCAACACCTTTTGTGTAGCTAGTTACCGACTTCCAATATTACTTCCATTTCTGGTCCTCTTCTTTTGATTGTAGGAACAGATAACACTACCATCTTAGCCCCCATGGTGCTATACACAGGAAAGGACATTTGTCATTGGACTTGATAAATTATGGACATTCTTCTTTCATGTTCTTGATCCTTGCTTTCACAGATAGCACATTTCGCATGCAGTTTTTAATTCAAACTAACATGATTTATCTGTCTTCTGCATCCTTTAATCTTCTGCATCCTTCAATCATGCTGTCTCGTCCTTCTCCCAAGTACACAAAGCCTATTTCACCCATGTAATCAGCTTCTAGCTGTTACTTTATTCATTGGGCTTGCTCCGGTATTTCTGTGTCTTCTTGTGTGTGGATAAATGGTTTCACTGTCCGTTTTGTTGCAGAATCCTTTGTTTAGGTTGATGGACATTTATCCTTTCTCATGAACTGAAATATTGTCACTTGTTGCTCCTATCCTTAAAGTTTGTTCAAGGACCGTTACACATTTACATATTTTCTACATTATTTGGTAGCAAGAACACAAATGTGCCTATTACAGGCAAACTTCTGCTAACTCTCCCTGTCTATTCATTCCATGAGCTTTTTCCCTGAAGCCAGGCTGCCTTACACTCCTTATAATTTCCATTTATTCAGCAGGAGGTTATCACCCAATCTTTTCTAAAGCATTATAAGAAGAACTCAGCATCTGTATGTTTTTGCTACTTTAATCAGCCTAATGAATGCAGTTTCATGTTGCAAGCTTTCCTCTTTTGAGGTATGCATACAATATTGCAATATGTTTAGAAAAGAAGTACAGTAGGTCTTGCACTGTGACCTTACGCTCACAAATGAAACATATGAATTGGGGAAAATACCCCCATCTGAAACTTACACATGACTAATTGATAAAGGCATGGTATATGTTTTTGCCAGGTTCTTTAAAAACAATTTCAAAATGTGAATATAAACACTAAAATCAACTGATTTGTATATTCAGTAATCAATTAGCTGTATACTTTTGGAGTGTAAAAACAACACATAGTAATCATAAACAGACCCATATTAAAGTGGGGAAGGTGAGCAAGCACACACCTATTATTCTGAGCAGAAACCTTGCCACAGGTTTATCTTCTCAGAAACAGATCTTGGGAAATTGCCCTCCATTTTTCATTCTCTAGACCATACTGTTCATTTGGCAACATGTAGAAGGATGAACAGGCCTTGATATAAATGCTGGTGAGTCTGCGATGCTGCTTCAGTATCAGCAACTGCTCAACCATCACAAGTGCACCCTTGAAGATGATGTTGATAATGATAATGGACTCTCATGGCTTCTTACAAAAACTAGCATGAATTTGAACCTTGAATTGTAGCTCTCACAATTGTAAAAAAAATCCACAATTTTTCCTTAACTATATATTAATACATTCTAAAACTGATGAAATAATGACAATTCTAATATGTTATTTACCAGTGTGAACATTTTCCTTGTGCTTTTTCAAGGCATCCTTACTCTTGAACCTCTTCCCACAGCTTTCAGCCTTGCATACGAACCTAGCATCACCTCGGCAGGCTTCTTTGTGTTGTTCAAAACTGATGTCAGATGATTGAAGAAGAGAAAAATAAGGCATCAAAAAATCTACTCCTTGAAATGTAATCTTGACAGGTATTTGAATGCACATGCTGGGCAGCAGACCTGTAGTCCACTTCATGCATAACTTACTGCATGTTGGGACAAAAGCATTTTCCATCTCACATAATTAAGTGTTCACAAGGCAACTACAAAATCTTAAAGCAAGCAAACATGCAAAGAGTCAGCAGCAAGATGAGAGTAGTCCAGTAATTAAGACAGGGAACCTCAATTCTGAGCTGAAGGATATGTTGCAAACAGAACACTGAAAACTTCTTGAATAATTTCCTGGATTCACATTTTCTGTGCACTGAAGGACACTGTTAGGAAAGAGAAGAGAAATGTCAAGTCAAACATGTCAATCTTCAACTGTTTTTGCAATCTGGCTGATTTTGCTCCTATATAAAGAAACATATCTATTCTGCAGTTTACTTATACAAAAATGCTTACAGTATTTATATATATATAAAACTGAGTCACTGACATGGGTGACCTGATTCATAACCATCACGGTTTACAACCATGATGATAAGGCCCCATTACCATCCTAACTTGAGGACCACCTGTCATATATTCGAAAATGGATATGGTCTTGATTTATTTGTTTACTTATGCAAAATACAACTGGTTTTTCATAATTAACAGCAAATCCAGATACCAAGTTTAAAATAATGTATTAATAATTTTTTAAAAAGTAGTTCAATTAAAAGAAAGTAGTTCGAGTAAAAACTGTTAAAAATACAATGCTAAAACTATAAATACTTTAGCTTCTATGATATACAAAAACTTGTATTTTATAAAGATACATCTCAGACTGTAAATAAAAGGATATTTCCCCCCAAAAGTAAGGGATCCTGCTGTACGACTTGCATAAATTCCTGGAATTAATGTAAAACACTTATGTTAGATTACTTATTTAATACTTTTTTAAAAAACTAAAAAAAATAATATATTCTCAAGCCCAACTTTTAAAATAACTTGAATGCTTGCAAAATGTCACTATCAATTCAAAGCATACTGAAGATGTCCCCCTGAATGGAGATGAAACATCTGCAGCCAAATCGCCAACCTCAGAGATCAAACCGACAGCCCAATGTCACTATCAATTTTTTATGCTTATTGTTTATAATATATACACTGGTGGATTTCACTTATGAAAATATCTTGCTCATTCTGTTTATGGCTGTGCGCATTTAACATCACAGCATCCATAATAATGGATAATATTACATTGGCTTTGATACAGAAGCCATAAGCTTACAATGAAGCGATGGTGATTAAGCTTGTTACATGCCTTCATGATGTTCTGTGTATCCATAGTTTTTGTCCCATTCACATTACATGTTTATACAGGTGCATGAAAACACCTAGTAAAGTAAAAAACTAAATTTGCTCTAGTCTGTAAACCATTCACTGGCAAAAATATTTCTGTATTGTCTTATTGACTTTATGGTTTCAAATGCCACAGACTTACTGCCTCTGTAAAGCTTGCTTTACTGGGAATTTCTTTCCACAATTCCTGCATTTGAATTCTTTTTCTTCACTGGGTTTTTGATGCAGTGTCTGAAGATGTTCAGCTAATATTTCCTGGCTTGCAAAACTAGATTCACAGCTTGGACAAGCATGGTCCTCTTTACAGGTAGAACAATCTACATGGTAGAGAAAAGACAGAAATTCCAGAAAGAAAATATTTCTTTGTGAAAACATTGCAGTAGGTTCTGTTCTAAGAGAAAGCTGGCTATCTTTTATCATGCAGAGATCAACACAGTGCCAGAGGCAAGACTGCAAAACAAATGTGAAAACAAGATAAAGCTAAATGACATTAAATTCAACTTAATATGATTGCTTCCTATATCTTTCATAATTTCCCATTATGTTTATTAAGAATTACAACTGGATGACAATATTGTGTATGCAAATAGCTTAAGGTTCTAGAAGTATCATTTTTGGATGGAGGAAGATAATATTTATAATAACCTTTTTTTTACAGAAACATGTACATTCATATCCATTATATGCTATGCAAAGAGCAATAAAGAAGAAACATTTATCAAAAGTAAAGTCACATTAAGAACAAAAGAACAAAAACGGAGTAAGCAGAGTTTGTATAAGCCCTATACACTATACCTTTCTACATATTTCTGACTTTACAAATCATTCTTGATCCCAACATATTCATATATCAATTCATATATTAAGGTTTGTTCTTTAAACTTCTGAACTCTTTCTTTTTTAGATTGCATCAACTCCATTCTAACACAATTCTCTTGCTCTTCCCTTTTCTTTTGACCCATTCACTCTTCCCTGAAATTCTGCTTTCTGATTTCAATCTTGCTCATTTTGCCTGCAGCCGAATTGGTTCAACATACATCTTTTGTACTGGTCACTCATTTTTGCATTCAGTTCACATTCATTCAGTACCCATTCATTCTTCTTCTTATCAAGATATATTTTTAAACATAAATGGATTTTTTAAATTATTCATCCATACCTTTTTCATTAGTTTGTTGCAAATCCTTATGAGTGCCGTTACTGTTGTTGTTGCTATCCTCTTCTTCCTGGTTAATAATGGTTTCCTCTTCATCATCTTCCTCCACTTCTTCCATATCACTATCAAGGTAACCAATCAAAAGTTCGGTATCTGTTTCAATATCTTCAACAGCTAGATAGAAAATGTTTTCTCCTTCCTGTTAGAAAAAAAATTATTTTAGAAATTCATTATTATTAAATCCATTTCTAAAACAAACTTTTTTGAATCACCAAGAAACAATTAAAACATTGAAATTATTACAACTTTTATTTTTGCCTTTGTCTTATAATTATTTTACAGGATTAAATATAAACCAACATAGTAATATAACTTTAGAAAACAATCATATTACATTAAGCAAAAAAAAAAAAGCAAGACAAAACTAAAGGTGGCTGAATGCTAAAAAATCATAATAGCAATTCAATAAACATCCAATGATAAATGCAATTTGTTTATGGGTAAACACAGTAGCAAACTTTGATTTTGGGGGAGCAAACTGTATGACAGAATGAATAACCGAATAACATAATTGGAAGGGACCTTGGAGATCTGCTAGTCTAACCCACTGCTCAAGCAGGAAACCCTATACCATTTCAGGCAAATGATTGTCTGAATGATAATTTCCCCTGGAAGTTAATTTCTGGAAATGGGCGATTCTCAGAATCTGAGAGCATCCTGACCTATTTAATTCCTCATTCTATCACTTTGAACACACTTAGGTCCAGAGGCCCAGGCACATAAGCAGGTCTTCAAGACCTTTTGAAAGGCAACTGCGTCAAGGCCATTCTAATCTTAGTAGGGAGGATGTTCCAGAGGGCAGGTCTATGGCAGACAGTGCACATCTCTTTCTCCCTGCCAACTGATGGGACCTGAATTATGTCTATTCTGCTAACTGGATTGGATGGATAAAAAGAGAAGGGAAAGGAAGAAAACAGTCCCTCAGGGATTTAAAGGTGACAACCAGCACCTTGAATTGCACCCAGAAACACATTGGCAACCATGAAGCAATGATGTTACATGTACCAAATAGTCACCATCATTTACAACACATGCAGCAGCACTCGGTATCAGATGAAGCTTCCAAATGCTCTTCAAGGACAGCCCCATGTAGAGCATGTTGCAGTAGTCCAAACAAGATGTCTGAGAGCATGAATGACAGTGAGAAGAGGAATGGGCACAACTGGCCTACAACCAAAAGTGTGTAAAGGCCCTTTAAGTCACAGCTACCATCTGTTATTTTCTTTCCAGGGGGTAACACAGTAGATTTAGTAGGTTTAAAAGGAGTGCTTTGCAGTCTCTCACAGAAGAATACACATGGAAATAGCCAGAAGAAAAATCCTACATAGTCACTTAATCCTTTCAAATTGTTGAACTGCATTTAACTATTCCAAAATGGGATGCTTTTTTTACACTTTTCTGAATTGCAAAACACTTCTTTTGAATACCTCATACCATCTATTGGGTCTTTTGTTAATTTAAGATCTGATATTAAAGACATCTCCTGAAACTTGTCTTATATTTCCCAGAGATGGTACAAGGATTATTGTCTTGGATAGGGGGTTGGACTAAAACACCTCCAAGGTTCCTTCCAGTCTTATGATTCTATGATATGCAAATATATAAAAGCTACATTAACAAAAAGTATTTGTGCTTTGTGATCTTTGTGTCTCTTCTCCAATCCAATTACCCTCTGCTCTTTAGGCTGAGAGATAAACCAGTTATACCAGATTTATTATATTGTTAATTGATTTTCAGATACTAATCTTCCATGGTTACGTTTGTTAAGTATTTTGTAAGTATGACTTTAAAACACTCCATCGCATCACAGTAAATATCTCTTTTTCCATTAACCTTTGCCTTTTCACTATTCCAATTTGCAGAGCTTATCCAGACAACCAATATATTGGGTGGTCAATGATCAATGCTTAAATATAAAGAGTTGACCATGATTTTGTTTATAAAGAGGGTTGAGATGCTTAGGACCATTCTTAATACAGGAGTTGTCAGCATGCATCGTTTTTTGAAAGCAGAAAAGAAACTGGAATATAGGTTATTCAAAATATAGCATGTTAGAAAGCTCAATAAAGCAAACAAAAATCACAGTTTTTTTAAAAAAGTACTATGGTTCATTGACCAATAGTTTTAGGATAAAAGATTGAATGTTTAATGTTGCAGTAGTATTGCGGACAACTGACAACACTGGACAATAATTATTGACAAAATCAGTGGATTAGAGAAATGCTGTGGATATAATTTATTTGTACTTCATTAAGGCATTTGATAACATAGATCACAACCTACTACTTGATATGATAGAAAAATGTGAGCTATACAGCATCAAAAGTCATCAAGTACATGAGTTTTATTATAGAAAGAGATTTCAATTTAAAACATTTCAATTTAAAACATACTGCCTATATAAACTCTACATAAATGACTTTGAACCTGAAAAAAATTAGAATTCCTTATGTGGCCTCTATGGCCACTTTCACTGCTGCCCACCATCCCCTAACATCCACTCTATTTTTTCCAATCTAAAAAAGGAATTATAGTTTTAANGAAAAGGTGGCGGAACTCAAACCTGGCCACGCCCTCATCAAACCCTAGGACCGCCCCTTTAGAGAACAGGAATGCAAGTAAAATTTGGGAGGGGCTATTTCCGGTGTGGGAGGGGCTATTTCCGGTGCGGCCGGCCCGGAAAAAGGTGCCGGAACGCGGTTCCGCCGCGTTCCGGCTGAAAAAAAGCCCTGGTTTTAACTAATATTATAAAGAAAGTTGTTAGTTATTCTTAGAAAAGTACAGCAAAAATATTGTTTCAAATTTACTCAACTGCCCAAAAAAGGTAAGGTAAGTTGGAGGAGTTGTTTGATAAATTATTGTTTTGTGAGTGAACACTCTGTATAATTATCATTTTGTAAATATGTAAATTGCAGCCAGGACAGCCATCTTCATGAACTCATGACATGTTCTCAAATTTAAATTTGCTCCGCAACCAACATACTTTAAACATTACAAAAACATTTTAGAATAAAATCTCCCTCACTCCTAATACAGTATTATTGACCTCTGTTTGTAAAATAATTTCCCAAATTATTTATTTTGAGGTCTTATATCTCTGTTCCAGTGGCTCTGTTTATACCTGGAATGACAGAATAGCATTTACAATAACAAAAAGACACCAAAAGGAAATCACAGTGAGAGATGCAAGGAATGTCTCCTATATTGGTTCTGGAAGTAAGAGGAGCACAAATTAAAATCTGTTTAGCATATAATATCCTGCATATTGAATATTTGTGACATGTACTTACTCAAAAATAAAAAATATTGTCCTATCATGGCTTCTGATTTTTTTCCCCTGCAAGGATTCTTTGTTCAGGAACCTTAAGAGGACATACTGTATAATATTTCTGTACTTACTTAATTCCTATTTGCTTATATAAAACCTAATTCTATGTTGCTGGGACAGAAACTTATAACACAAGGATGTTACTAGATTCCAATTCTCAAAAACTCTGGTCCCTAAAAATATTCAGTTCTAAGCACTGTTATTCTCAAGTAGCATTCAGGAATCATCAGGAATGATATGAGCTAATGGTATACAGATACCATTAGTTGCTTACCTCTTTGCTAAGCTTATGGCCGCCATCCTACAGTCACTTATTAGACAATAAGCTATACCATATAATGAGTAGACATGGAAGACTGAACTGGAAATTTAATAAGAATTGGATACATTTACCTGGATAGCTGCCAGAT